TTGTGAAATATTTTTAGAACAAGTTGATTTATATGTTAGCAAAAGGATCAAATAAACATTTCCTTGTGTCTAACCACTGCTGCTGTGTTGATGACAAAAATGTGTTATGGATGTTTCTGTGTCACTTCATAGCAGTGCGACTTTTTTCTCACTACTATTACATGAAGTTCCAAAACACTGCAGTTCTGTGGGTTAGCACTCCTTTGCTCTGCTAGGAACAGAAAAAAACGTTTGTTTGGACTGGCAGGAAACACTGTTATTTAATTTACTGTGCACATTGGTGGGCAATTTATATGTTGTGGGCTATGGCAAGTGATTATTCCCTGCATAATCCTGCAGCATTCACAAGCATTCATACCCACATCAGGATGGTGAAACCTTTATCAATAACAACATTGTGACCTAGAACTCAGTATTTTTGTGTCTGGAGTTTCCAAAATGTCTGGGGAATGCTCAAGCAACAAAAAATGGTGCACCAAAATAGAATTCTGCATGAGAAAGCCTCCAGGCTGCAATAATATTTCCTCAGCCGCCCTCACTGTTGGGCCCTTCCTGGCAGAGCTGGACCACGTCCACAGGTCATGTTGACTTTGTCTGGATTGATGGTGTTTCAGCAGCTGTCCCCTGCTGCTTTCAGGAAGCCAGGTTTGGAGCCATTAGGTGAAGCAGCCCTGTAAGATTAAGAACATGTGCCAGTGCCTGGCATGAGCAGGTTTTATGTCTGAAAGAATAGCATCCAGGGACACACATTGTGCCCATACCCATGTCTGTGTGTGTCACACAACTCCATAGGAAGAAACGTGGGATCTGGGGGAAAATCTGGGGCAAGTAGGTCTCTAGCTCCCTTGCTCTTCTGACCCCACAGAGACCTCCAGCTGATGTGGTGATTAGCTTCCAAGTCATTGCCCAGCTGTTGCCTCATGACTGTATGGGTTTTTTGCTGGAATGAGATCTGTGCCCACCCTTGAGACTCTGGTGGCACAAAAGCTGTGCTGCCTAATGCACTGCTTGCTGTGCTGTGTAGGTTTCAGGAAAGTATCAGAAAAGAAATGGAAAAGGGGTCTGAATTTCCCCAGAACAGGCAAATTAATGAAACCTGCTGAGCCTACAATAATGCCTAAGAAACCTCTCCCTTTCTCCTGGGTTTGTTTATATCTCACCTGCACTTCACTGCCAGACTGGTGGGACTTGGAGCTAGAAAACAGTTTTTCAAGCAGCAAGTTTGATCTGTAGGGCCTGGGGAGTCAAGGAGTGGTCTTCTCTCATCCAAAGGTCACTTCTTGAGTACAGATGTTTCACAGACCTTTGCTTTGATACAAATTAATTATGTGAATTTCTGAATAGTTGGATCCTAAGTGGCAAATACTTGGATCCAGGTGGTAACTGGTACAGATAGCAGAAAGTGAAAAGCAACTGTGCTGCTTTTTTTTTCCTTGGGAACTTAAAAATTCCAATCTTGCTGCATTAAACTAAGTCATGCAGAAATGCTCCAGCTGTTCTTTGCACTGTGGAAGCCAAATTCAGCATTTTGATGGGTTTTTTTCCTTTGTTTTTGAGAGACCAGTTGTGAAACTACTTGATGTCTCAGGCAACAAAATCGTACCTGTACTCTCCTTCCACTTATTTGGGTTTTCCTAGTTATTTTATTTAAGGTGGACTACTTACAAGTAATTGTGTTCACTAGGAGGTAAAATGATCAGCCTTCTTTGCAAGCTGGAATGTCCAGTAGCACTGACAGGCTTTTAGTCTTTTAGACTCCCTCTTCTTCTTTTTTACTGAATACTCTGATGGCAGCTGAACTCAAAAAAATTTTGGTAAAAAGCAGTAGGACACACCAGCAAATAATTCCTGTGGTATGCGTTCTGTTTCTAGTAAGAGCTTTGTTTGGTACGAAGTGTGGTGACCCCTTCTCAGCTCACTCCATTTGCAGGAAGAGGCAACCCTTATTTAAATACTCCTAAGGGAGAATCCATTGAAGTATTTTTTATTATTATCTTGAAAATTAGATGTGTCCTACACATCCTATCAATTTCCAGCTGCGAGAGTTCTCTGAAAGGTAGATTATATTCATCATGGTGTTTTAATGAAGGCTTTTGTGTCTGCTTAACAGTGAGTTTCCTGCCCTTCACTTCCTTCTCAGGGCATTCATAAACAGCAACATTGAGTTTGGGAACACTTACCCCATACCATTGATGCCTAGAGCAAAGTTTATGCTGTGGTTTCTGGATGCATGATCAGGAGAAGAGTACATGCTGTATGGAGCAGCTTGTACCCAAGCAGATCCAAGGATTGACCTAGACACTGGTAACCCCATGCTTACATGCCACATGGCTAGTCCCCTATCCCTCTAGTAGGCATGGACTTTCAGTGCTCAGCTCCTGCTGGTTTAATGGAGAAGAAAATTATCTGTGTGCATTATCAAATTATGTAGAGTCCTTTCCACAGGGATTGTAATTTCAAAGTCATTCCTCTTGTTTCAGTGAAGCTATTTGAGGATTTTCAGGGTTAATAATAATTTTAATCTAAGCCTTTTTAACTTAAAAGTTAGTCAGCTCTCATAAGGCTCTAGCCAGGTGACTGGTGAAGGTCACAGCAAAGTGACACGTGCAGCATTATCTAGCCTGTTATCAGTGACTGCACCAGGCACAGTTCAGTACCTGACCATATGACAGCACAGTAGCCTGTTTTGATCTTCATTTTCTTGCTTTAATTGGGTGGCCTTTCTCATGTCTCTCCCTGCTTCTAGTCCTATTAACTCGTGAGTGTGGAGCGGACTGGCTGAGATATCAAAAGACTGGGTACTTAAGATGAACAAAACCATAGAGCAGTTTATAGTAATTCAAAGAATATGGAAGCATTTGCACTTTCTGATACCACCTGCTTTGCGTGCCAAAGATTGTAATGGGAAAAAAAGCTTACAAGTTTCAGGAGGGGAAAAAAAAAAAAAAAACCTTTTGTGGAAAAAAATTAAAGAAAAGGGCGACAGAAGTTGTCTTGGGATGTGAGTGAAACAGAAACATTGGTCATGAACTGAGTGAAGGAGTTGGATCTAATTACTGTATAACAAAACAAAGGAAGATGGCTTAGCAGACATCTAAATTGCAGATACTAAGCCCTACTGCAGAGCTATAGATTGGACTGTTGTAGGTAAATGTGGAAAATGTCAGTCCAGTCCTTTTTATGGGAATTGCCAGGATCACAGAGATACTCGTAGAGAAAATCATCAAATACTATTATCTCCATATATGTGTTAATAATATTCTTAATCTTCACTATATTTTCTCTTGGGCCTATATGTTGCATGAATATTTCTTGGCATGCCTGCAGATCTTTAATTGTTTGTATATTTGGCTTGCCTCAGGCCTACTTTAAATGAATGTATGCAAGTATCTTTGCTATGTATGGCATTATTTAAGTGCAAATATCTGTGGTATTGTTTACCATGTGTCATACCATTAAAAAAATTAAAAAAAAACCACCACCAAAAAAAAAAAATATCAAAGAAAATCCAGAAGGGGAATCCTGAGTTTTTGATATATTGAACAATCCAGTCAGTGATATTCAAAGCTGTTAGGGCTACATCTGCACATTTAAAATTCTGTTGGTTGAACTAAATGTTTATATTTTTTTTCAGAGTTGCCTGAGAGGGTGTAGGGCTGTGCTTGAAACTCATCTAGAAATTTTCTAATTAGCTCTAAGCTACCTTGTCCAATAGCACTGAGTTCAATGTGGACAGAAGTCTTGCCTCCAAAACAAATACACAAGGGACCCTTCCTCTCAGCTGATCTTAGTCCTTAGTCTGAATCATGACAGAGCTATTGTTTTGGTTTGCCTCCCTCAGCAGTCCTTCCTTTGGATCCCAGCATTAAGCATGTTGCATGAAGCCGTGTTCTGTGTGCACTGGAGGGCCCTTGGTGCCTCTGGGGATGGGTAGCTAGGGACTAGAATGTACCTGCAGCAGTGGAGACTGAAATGGGGAGGCAGAGGCAGACACAGATTAAGAAATTGGGCCCTCCAGGTAGCAAAAGAAGTTATGAAATATGGTGCTATAAAAATTCTTCTAGGAGGGGGCCCTCAAATGATTGGCATGTCTCTTTTGTGGTTTATGACAGTTCTGGTGTGACAGAGAATGGCAGCCCCATTTTTCAGTATTCGAGGCTATTTATTGTGTGTCACTGTCTTTGAGTTGGCTGCTCCAGACAGGTACTTTCATGTCATTTCCTTATTCCTGCACTTTGCTCTGCCTTACTCTTTCTGTAGGGAAAGAGAAGACAGGGTGAGAGAAATGTGCTGTTGGTGTTTGCCTGCATGGCACGCTGAAGGAGTCAGATTTCTCACAGAACATTTGTGCCTGTGTGGCACCAGCACCCACAGCAGGGCAGTTGAGTGTGCCAAACAGAGCCTGCAGAAATCTGGCTGATCATGTCTGACACACTCTGATTCAGGCAAACGTGCAGATTATTGGGCTCAGTGCTGCACCAGTGGCACGCTCAGAAATGTTTGGCAATGGTCCTGACAGTGTTAGTGTTAAGACTACGGCATAAAAAGATACTGAGCTGCATGGATTTGCCCCATAGTCTGTACATGGCCCTTGGACAACTAGCTGATCCCCCTAAATGAAATCATACCATGGTTAGTATCCCCTGCTCAGTCCCTGTTGTGTATTCTCTCTGATGGGTCAAGCTGGACACGGTTCCAAATTGTTCTAAGAGGTTTGAGTGCGGTGATGTGCTGAGTGGCCTGGCTGCAGTCATGCTGATGGGCATTTGTCTTCAGCTCCTCAGCATACAGGAGTCTCCAGCCCTAAAGCAATGGGCAGGCTTCCCAAAAGGCAGGGAGGCAAGCTAGAAGAGTGGCTGCTTGCCATTTCTTTTTGGTCTATTCAGGTTAAAAATCAGCTTTGCATGTGAAGAAAGAGAGGAGGTCTCTGTTGGCTGCTTTTCAAGAGACTTTGACCTTTCTTCTCCTTACTTCTGCAGCAGGGTTGTTGTGACTTCTTTTCCCTATCACACACCTTTGCCCCATCACAGACCTACCCTGTCTCTAAAGCTAACACAAAGAACCTGCTATATCTCTCTGCCCTGACCCCGGTATTTTAACCCACTCTCCCTGTGCTCCCTCATTTATCGTTTTCCTCTTGTCTCTCTCCACTTCACCTCCTGTTAGGCAAAATCTGTGCTGTGTGGAATAGAGGCCGAGCGTGGGCTGCGAGAAGAGAAAATATTCAGACATCTCTAAGCATAAGTGTGTCTTCTTGACAAATAGCCTGGTTATTCTGGATGAAGAAAGAGAAACAGCTCTGATTCTTAGCCACCACCACGGAAGCCTGTGCTGCTGCCACACTTCAGGCGTTGCTCAATTCTCGTAAGAGAAGCAGGTCGATGGGAAGGCTTCTGGGGCCAGGATCCAAAGCGCTCCCCAAGAGTCTCCGGGAGTGTCAGCAGATTCCTCAGTGAGCCAAGAGAAGGGCCCCTGTGCATGGCCGGGCTCGCTGACGGCACCTCTGAACTATGCGTAGGATCAGCTGCTGTCACTTTCGCAGCCTTCCTGTAAAGCCGGGCTGTCGGGCCCCGTCCGCTCCGCCGAGCCCCGCAGAGGACGCGGCTGTGGCGGCGGCGGATCCGCCGGAGCCTGGGGCAGCGCTCGGGCCAGCACGGGATCTCTGAGCGGGGAAAGAGAAGGGCAGGAGCTGTGAAAGAGACTTTTTTACTTCATTGCTTTCTTCCCCTAGCCGGTATCCTGCCTGTGGAGAGCTCTTAGCGGACTCGTGGACTTGCGCTGCCGTGTGAGTTGAGAAAAAAAGTGATGGAGAGTGAGAGAAAACCAAGGGAATCCATTAAAAAATGCCTCTGCTACCTCGTTAATCTTTTGCAGCAAATAATATATGCAAAACTTGGGCTAGCAAAGTCTCCGAAGAATAACATTTTTTTTGGTGAGGTTTTAACAAATTAAAGAAATAAATTAAATCAATAGCACAGCAGGAAAGTGCTTGAGGCCTCCAGGATTTGTATGTTTTACCATTGTTCTAAAAATAAACTGGGGGGGGAAAAATTTAAAAGCCTTACAGTTGAAAAATAATATTTTCTTTAAGTAGCCGTGTTTGGGTTTTGCTCCTGCACGGTGCTTCACCACCTTCCCTGGCCCTGAGGCTGACTTTTGGAAAAAGAAGGTGGAAAATAGTAGAAGCAGAGGTCGCAAAGCCATGTGGTGAAGGGAGAGGCACGCTGGGCGTTAGCGGGAAGGATGTAAAGCAGAAATTAAAACCCTTGTGCCTCACCCCACTGCGACTGCTGAGACAAGGCATGTGTTAGAGATTAGCAATCTGCTTACTGGCACCCTTAGGCCCAAACCAGTGGGAACATTTCTGGCAGCTTGGGTCAGTTTTGGAAGAGAGGTGGCTGGTGCCCTTCTCCCTTGCTATACTGTAGACTGGTCATTATTTTAATGATCAGAACAAGGCTTCCAGAAGGTTGCCAGAAACCAGAGAAGTTAAAGGCCGCCTTCTGATTTTCCTTTTCCAGGCTCCTTTTTTTTTACTTTGCAGTAAAGTGACCAGAATGAACAGCAGTGCAGCTCTGTCTTTTCTTCTCCCCTTAAACTGACCACTTCCCCTCTCATCCCAGCTGCTACCTACTAACAATTTTCCACTGCCTCTCTTCCCTGGGCTACCTCCACTTCCCATCTGCTGCCTGCTGTCATTTTTTCCATCTCCACCCAGGCCTTGCCTCACTCTCTCCCCTGTCTTAGAATTGGAACAACAGCTTTTTGATCTATGATTAAAAACTATCATTTTGAGCAATGATCAGCAGGCAAACAGCATTGTGGAGAGAGGCCTAAATGATGGGTAGGTGCCTTACTTCCTACTTCCTCTACTAGAAGAGAATTTCTCCTACTCCAGCCATTGCTCACGCTGAAGCTGAATGCATGCACATTAGAAAAGAAATTAATTAAAAGAAGCCCTCAGAGCTGCAAAGGCAAGGCTGTTGTTTCCTAGTAGGTAAATTGCATCTTGACTGTAATTGCCCCGCTACTCACGCAAATTTCTCAGTAGTGGGAATTATATACGTATATGATCAGTGTAAGGAACCACTCTGTTCTTCTGCATTGCTTTTTGTTGATGGACCTCTGACACTTGTCCTTCTAGCCTCAGTTCTCATCCCTCCAGCATTCTCTCAAGGGACTGGGCTACTGATTTTATGTAGATGATCTGTGCATGGAGCAGTCCCACATGCACAGCCGGAATACACGCATACAGACACACTCATACATGCACACGCTTGACAATTTCAAGTCAGCCAGTGGCAGAACTCCAGCTACCCCTGGTATCTTCTGTTAGTCCCTGTGGGAATGTCTTTCTGTCATAGCATTTAATTACATATGTTTCTGCTATTTTCTTCCCTTTCATTTCTGCCTTATTTTGTGCACAGCATGGGCTGTGCTCAGTTTCTGAGCAGCAACTCAATATTTAGTTTTCTCCTTCCTGCTCACTGGGTGGCCACTACCCTTATTGATGGGACAACATTTAAGTCCTTCTCTGTTTCTCTGATGAGAAAGTGGTTGATTCCCCTGTGAGATTTTCTGTGTCCTCGACATTGCATGTGTATCTGTGGCTACACAAGTGCTTTATGGTGGAACTTGTATCAGAAGTACCAGAATACTTGTTCCCGGTCCCCTGATGGCATCCACTTACTGCTTTCATTCTTGGGATGGTTTTAGTGTAGAAAAATAGTCCAGACAAAGCTGTGTAATTTGCCGTAAAGGGAGGTAGATATTTTGTTTTTCTGCTAGTGCATGTTCTGTTTTGTTAAGAAGGCTGTAGGTTAACAGCCAGGTGTTTTATTCTGCCTGCTTCAGTTCTGAAGAGAGGGGGAAACTACCCCTTTTCAGAAGCCTCTTGGAAAGGGAGGAGAGCTTTTACAGAGGACAGTGTAGGGCATCATGTTCTACTTGACACATACCCCCAAAACTGGAGCAGAGCTTTTGGGAAACTCCCGAGTGTGGCACTGGGCCATGACATCCCCACTTGGCATCTCTTGGGAGCTGGCAGGAATGATGCAGGACTTGGAGCTGAGCATTGAAAACTGCTGGACTTAGGGTAAGTTTTGGGAGCTCCTTAGCATGTGAATACATAACAGCTGGGAAGATGAGGTGAGGAAGGAGTGGTGAGGACTCTTGGGGCTTTTTTCTGTTCTCTTTGTTTGCAGTTGCCTGAACTCACATCTGTGCAGATCCTAACCCCTTTGGCATGCTTGGCCTGCTCACATTAAGGAAAATGTGTGAGAAGACCACCTCAGAGGGCTGGCCAGCTTCAGATGCAGTTGTGACTGCAACCAATTTGGCAGCAGCTGGATTTCTTTGGCCACATCTTCGTGTGTTGGACACTGTTAAATCCTAATGGCAGTCCTGGATCTGGGGCTCAGTAGAAAACTTCTGGCTCTTGCTGACTACTGTGCTGACTCCTGAGTATTTTGAGAAGGCAGGCTCTTCATGGTGCTGGCATTTTCCCCTGAGAAGAAAGGGAACACGTTTGGTTCCTGTAGGGCTGCAATAGCAACCACTGCCTGTAAGGAAGACCCGAGACATTGTATGGTATTGGACTTGGGTGACTAAGAAGGAAAATGCTTGCTGGGCTGAGGGTGACAAAGAATAATCCTGCTTTTCCTGCAGATTGCTAGTCAGCAAAGTGTTAAAGGCATTGCTGGTTGGATGGGACTGAGGCTAGAACAGTATTTAGCATAAGCCCCTAGCAGGCTTTGGAGAAGGTCTTTGAGAGAGCAATGGATGGTTGTGTGGGCTTAGGTGTGAGGATGACTGAAACTAGTGAGGAGGATGCCAGGTGCTAATTGAAGAGAATAAGTGTTTTCCCATCTATAATGTTTTACTGAGGTTCTCCTTTCCATCACCTTAGGAGAATGTTCTGTGTTTTATAGGCCAGCAGGGGTTTCCAAACTAAGACGTTGTTGGAGGTATGTGACCTGATCCAAGTTTTCCAGAGTAGGTGAGTAGACAAAGATGTGCACTCAGCTTCTTGAAGTGTGGGAGACAGTCTTTAGCAGCCATCATTTAAAATGTGGGGAAACATATTTACATGAGAGATGTCTCAATTCCACCACTGTGGGAAAAAATAAATACTCATTGCCCCGGCTGCTGTAGTGTGCTGCTGAGGCTTGGCAGGAACTGTGGTTCAGTCTCCTCTGGATTTCCAGTTCTCTAAGAAAACTCTGTGTTATTGAAATGGAAGAATCTGTTTTCCACTGGGATTTAAAGCAATTTGTGCTGAATGCTGGGAGTTTTCAAGCTACCGGATTTTGAAATTGTCTTTGTTAAAAGAGGAAGGGGATCCTAAGGCGTAGAGCGTTTGAGGCATGGGTCTGGATTTGCTTATCCTGTGAGTAGAGGGGAGATCTGCAAGTGGTTTCGTTCACCAGGCAGCAATGTTTGTCAAGGTAGGGACAGAGATGCCTGCAGACTCCCCTCTAGCACTCACCATGTGAACAGAGAGCAGTTGTGTTGTTGCGTGTTCCCCTCATCACTCCAATGCCTGATTCCAGCCTTGAGTACCAAAAGTCCGTAGCGACATGTTTCTGGCCTTAGAGGGAGAAGGGCAAGGAGGTGGGCTTACAAGAGGCTTACAAGGTTATGTCTAGACACTAGACAGCAAATGTTTGCCTTTGTTTCCTGAACAGTGTATACCAACTTAGGATAGGTTCTCCAGAAGTGACCAAAGGACACCTGTGGGAAGCCAGGATATACTGAAACTGAGAAATGCTTTATGGCCAGCAAACTTAGAAAAAGACTAAATTTTGTTAAAAGAGGGCATCTTGGAAACTGTGGCTAGTTCTGAACCAAAACTTAAGTCTTGTAAAGGGTAGGCATGGGGTTAAAAAGGGTTCATCTAGGTAAAGGATATTCCACATCTAGCCTTGGATTTGAGGCTGAATTCTGTGATAAGAACCATCTTTAATGTAAAGCTGAAAAGATATTATAAAGATGAAACAACTGGAAATAAAAGAAGCCTGGCCAAATTTTTTACATGGGCCATGTAAATCTGTCTCTTGAGCTGTAGTTACTGATCTGTTTTCTTTGCTTCCCAGAGGCAAAAGTAATAGCTCTATGCCAAAAAGCACAGTTTTCCCAGCACTTACCAAAACCAGCATGAGTTCCTGAATGGCCAATGTCACAGAAGTTGATGTGTAAAATTTTAGAGAGTTTTTTGTAAGCATCGATTTTGTGGACAGAGAGGGGCCAACTAAACCCCAGGCCCTCGATAAGTTTGGATTGTTATCTACACTTGATATCATGTTATTGTGATCTAGGTTTCTCTCTGCTTGATGTCTTTCCAAGATTCCCTGTATTCATTTTATCCTTGACAGGCTAGTGAACGTATACGGGCACTGTATCAAAAGGTTTGGAAAGGCAACAGCTGAACATAATCTTCAGATAAATGCAACATACCATGGCCACATAAAAATGGTCTGTCTCATGAATAGAAAAGTGAGGCCTATATCTCTGAAAAGCTTTTGACTTAGATTTCTCCCTAGAGTGTATTGAAGATCAAATTATCACATCTGTGATCCTGTAACATAGTGAGCTGGGCTGTGGAAACTCTCAGGTATATACCTGCAGCTTGGCTACTCAGAGGAATTTGAGGCTTTTGTTGAGAATGCCTTGATGGGTGCTATGCTGCCAGGGCTTCATGACTTGAGCCTTTCCCAGCTTAGCCAAAAGAGAAGAAATGAGCTGCATATTCCAGCCATGATGCAGTATAAGCATACGAACAAATGTATCTAACTCTGCAGGGCTACATTCAGATGCACATGTTGGTTCCTCAGTGCCAGATCCTGCTATGAACTCTAGCTCTGCATACTGTTAGAAATGGCAGAAGGAGACAGATATCTGTATCTCTGCACATGCACAGGGTTTTGTCTTTTTTTTTGACCTGCAGCATATGGTGGTGTTTGCTTTATCCATAGAAAACTCGCAGAGCCATATATGATGTAACAGATATTTTCCTCACAGAATGAAAACCATAGTTTTGAAATGGGCTATATTTGTTCCCAGCTCCTCTCCATTTCTGCTGCATAGATAGGCAGGTATGCTTGGTATTTTTGTTCTCTTTTTTTTTTCCTTAGTTTTTTCTTTTTTTAATCCCCTAGAAAACACATAAATAATTCAGAACACATGCTTTATGTCAACTGTTTCAATTATTTTATCTCTATAAAGAGGGCAGAGGCAAACCCCATTCAAACAAGCAAGGGGAGGAAGATGCATTGCAAAATGATGACTGGGTTATGCACAGATATATTGTTGACTGGAAAGTCCAGCTCAGAAATGTGATACCTATGTTTTAATGGTTGGGCATTGAGAGTTGCTGAGAGCACATAAAGACAGTTGAGAACCCTCTGACTGGATCTGTACAGCCACTATTTGTCCATGACTTTGTGTCAGGATGGGCTCCCAGATGTTCAGAAATCCCACGCAAGTATGCTGCAACAAGAGACTCCATTGGAGGGTGCTAAATTTCTTGGCATTCCCTAGGAATTCAGCCCTTTATAAAGTACGAAATTTGGGTCACTTTTCCTAAAGGAGAAGCCAAGTCCAAGCTCCTGAAGTCAGATGGAAGTGCTCTGTTGAGTTGAAAATGGGGTTGGATTGGACCCATAATATCTCATCTTCCTCCAGATGTGGCCGTTTCATTTGCTTTTCCATCTCATAGATTCTTGACTGATCAGCTGCTGCGAGAATTCATGAAAGTTACTTTATTTTTTGGCACACCTTACATACTCCCTATAGCTCATGTCAGAGCTCTAGTCTCTTTATATGGATATGTTCCCTCATGCCCCACTGACTGTGCTTCAGCATTGCTGAGAGAGCCTGTCCTCTGTAGTCCTCTGTAGCTTCTTGGTTCATTCTAATACCTTCATGAGATATATATAATTGTGTATATCTTCTGGTACAGTAGACTTAAACCCATTTCTTTTTTACCATGGTGATAATAAATGTCACCACTACTTGTCTACCACTCAAGTCCTGATATGCACTGCAAAGCTAAAGACAGCAAAACAAAATAGGTAATACCCTAGGCTGTCATGTCCAAAGCGTAGAACACAGCAGGGCAATTCCATCTTTCAAAAAAACCATTCCTGAGGATTATTTATCAGCCCTTTTTCAAAAACCTATTTGAAGGACAAGTCACAAGTGTTGTGAATATCCTGTCCCAGTATCTCGTTTCTCTGCAGCTGGAAGATTCCCCTCATGTCCAACACAGTTTTGATGTAAATCTTGTTTCCTCCTCAGTGGCCACAGAAGCAATCAGGAGCAACCTTTTATGTACCAGATAGATGGGGGACCCTTATAGCATAGATGCTTCTGCTGTGATTATGCAGAACCAGAATTCTGAGGGCCTTTCTCTGCCATATATTTTACATCTGTCCTCAGAGAAGTCTGTTAATCTCTCTATTTTGATATCCTAAAAAGGTCCTGTGAGGGTGCATTCACTGATGTTTCCTGGGGCATTCAGATAGTGCCCTGACAGAGTCTACGTAGGTGAACAGAGAGAGAGAGCGAGCAGGCATATGTATATTAATCTGCTAAAGGACTGATATTTAACTCAGCAATGCTTCTGAACAGATGTCAAAGACTAAATTATCAGCATGTCTCTTATCTCTGGAATTTTGTTTTGTGCTGTCCTATTTTACTGATTGTTTTGTGGTTTGTTTCGCAGCTTCCTGGAAAGAAGAATTTTAAGAACGAGAACAGAAAAAAAAGCCTGGTAAAAGTTGTAACTGGCTCTGCCTGTCTGTGCTGTGACAGCCAACAATATCACCTGCTGATGATTTACAGATTCCTAGGAGATGTGTTGTTGAGTCTCAAAGAACTGGAACAAGAACAACTCACTCAAATTGCTTCCCGTGAAACAGCATAATGTATCCACCCGCTTCATGCTCTCCTAATTTAGGACATGTGTAGTGTGTAATGATGAACTGGCCAACTGATTATGTTGCTGTAAATCTCGTTCCCCACCTTACAAAACACCCCTGATTGACCCCTTTTTCATGATAGCTCAGTGCAAAATTTCCAGTCCACTTCTTGAGAGGGAGAAAATTCACACCAGCCACTTGCAAAAGCATTTCTCCAGAGAGAAAAATGCAACATTTTGTTGTTTTTATTTCATTGGGCAGCCTTTTCAAGTTCTGTGGCCCTCTTTTGCTTCCCTTTAAATTGTGACCAGTATTTATTTATCCCTCTTTGAACACAATAACTTAATTAAGAAACTAATCAGCAGTGTTGAACTGATCTTTCAACTCACCCCTATCACTGAAGGAAATTTATGAATGCATAGTACAAGAAAGATCCTATTATCTAAAAAGCTTTCTACTAAAAGCATTTGGCATCTAAAATGTAAGACTTGAAATTCTGCACTAAATTTATAATGTAAATATGTGAACATTATTTATAGAGTCTGAAATGTACCCCAACTGCATCTAACAAGTTCATTCTGGATTATTTATTAAAAATGAAATTGTTTCAAGTTTAAAGGATTGAATGGTGTATTTTGGAATCTGAAGGGAAGATTGTAAAGGTACCTGTGTAAGAGAGAGAAGTTTGATGCTTTAGGTTGCCTCTTCCATCAGTGGAGAGAGGTTGGCATGTTCCATTTTCTTAGAAACTTATCTTTGGATGGAAATTTATTGGCTGATCATCTCAGCAGGGCATTAACAGGATCTCTGTAGTTAGTCATCATCATCATCTGTTATTCCCAGTTCCCTTGGCTTCAGCCTGAGAGAATAATTCTGAACGCTACCTGGGATGGAGGCACCTGGGGCAGAAAGTGACCAGATCCCAAAAGGAGAGATCCCTCTGTGCACTCTTGCTCAGCCCTGGGAACTGAGCTGCTGCTGGCCATCTAACAGGACAGATTCAATAGAACTTTCTCCTCTCCACCAGCTGAGTGCTGAGTAAATGTCAGCACTAGAGGACCTAGTTGATAAGTCGGAAAATGCCTCCTGGGGTAGGATGGCTCCAAGATGTTTGGCCAAATGTAGCCAAAACATTTATATTTCTAGACACAGTCTGCAGAAGAATTAAAGGTGCCTCAGTAACTGCTCTGGAGGAGAACTGAGTGGTTAGAGGAGGGACAGAAGATCCTTTGCTATCAGGCCTCTCCACCTATCCAAGTGGCACTGCGAGCACCTAACTGCAGGTTTAGATCTAGTCCTTTGTCCTCCAAGGACTTGAACAGACAGGTGGAGATAACAATTAGTTCTATGCAAAATCAGGCCTAGAATTAGGGTCTGGTAGCTGGAATTAATGAGATGCCTGGTTTTCTATGGCTTTGGATCGTGTCACTGGATTAACCTGTGTCTAAGAACGTATGAGCTCTGTTCCAAGGTTTGACTGCAACTGGGAAAATCCTCAAAGTGCCTGCCTTTGGTGATTCTCTGGTGACTAAAAATATGGTGAAAGAGTTCTTAGAGGTCTCTTTTGTTAAAAGAACTACAATTTTATTCCTCCCTTCTTACTTTCACACAATTTGTGGAATTTCATCTTTTACCTTCTTGTCCTGCAGTAGCTGGCTTGAAATTTGCCAACAGGCTCAAAAGGCTGTGGTGAGGGAGAGAAGTTAGAAACATACAGGCTGGCATGTAGTGCTTTCCTGAGAAAAGTAAACTTAAAAGGACATAGTGTCTGTCCTATGAAGCTTACTGTATCCCTAAAGGATGGGCTAAAGACAAGAGAATGGACTGAAGGAGGTATGACATATTAAGGACTCATGTTGGAAATTCTTTTAGCAACTGGAGGAGCCCCCCAGTTCAGTTTGCCACTGCCTAGCTGCTGGGGTCTATTGAGCTTCCAGAAAGGTATGATGCAGGAATTAATGTTCTCACACTTCCTGTTGCCCCATTTGCTTGGTCATGGCTTATATACTCCACATGAGATCTGTAGGAGAAAGAGATATGAAAAGAGAGGACTGCCATTTTTTCCAGGAAGAGCAGATTGCAAGACTGTGGCATTTTTCCCACACATCTTGAATAGTTTTATACTTGGGCTTTTTGAGGAGTTTTTAATTAATTTATTGTTTAAATAACTCTAATGAGTAGAGCCCCTGCCACACTGATTCTAATGAGGATTGCATGTGCTCTGTGTCTTTCTCATTGTGGCCTATGTAATTTAAATATCTTAGCCAACATGTGCTGTGGCAGATTTCACTTATATCTGCTTAAATTAAAGCTTGTCAGTTTAGGAGCTAAGAAGCATGCAAATATTTGAGAGATATTTGACATTCACTGCTGAAATCATCACACTAAATATCTGGCATCAGTGACATTACTTGAGAAGGGTTAGAAATTCTTGCTGTGTTGTACAGGCTGGACATTCTGGACTTAATGAAGAAAAATGTACTTATCCTTATGTGTTCAAAATTAAGGTCTCCACCAAAATTTCAGCTTGTTTTTCTTCTGTATTTTCTCTGAGCAATATGTGACTGTTTGAGTAGCTCAAAGTTGCTGCTAGGAGAACAAACAGTACCAATATCTCAGAAGTAGTTGGAGTAATAGCACAATATAGCTGTAAAAGGAATGGCATTTCCTTATGTTCTCATCCCCTAGAAATGCAAAGGAAGATGGCGCTGAGCTGGAAGAGTCTGATGGAACCTTGGATGTTTGAACAGTTCCAGGAGATGAAGATTAATTTCCTGTGCATGTGTATTTTTTCCTATTATGGGTCACTATATCAAAACACCATACTATATGTAGTACGTACAGCATGCAAACTTTCTGTGCTGAAAAGTACTGGCTTGTTGACACACTGAAGTCAAAATTGGATATTAAAATGGAAGTATTAAACATCTAGGTGTAATCTCAATTGTAATGTAATTGTAGTGGTACTTAGTTGGTCATTACAAAAGGCAGAAGATCCCAAATATTCCAATACTGAGATAGAGTCCCTGCAACCAATTATAGAGTGTCTTCTTTTCTGATAGAGGTTCAATTAAAATGCAAACAGTATCAAACAAAGTATGATCACAAGATAGGCTGGAAAACATCCCAGGAGGTCTCCAGTCCAACATCCTGCTCTAGACAGGACCTGCCATAAGATGAGACCAGGCTGCTCAAAGCTTTACCTAAGTGGGACTTGAAAACCTCCAAGGAGGCTGCACGATCTCTGGGCAACTCTAGCTGTCCCCAGGGGAAAAATAAATATCCTTACAACCAGACTGGACAGCTTTCCACTTATGCCATGCCTTCCCACCACACACTGCTGTGGAGAGCTTGACTCTTGTCATGTTGGTGATCTCTTTGCTCAGCAGCAGGGTGCTCTGCTGACCACCCACTTCTGGTGACTGAGATGCAGAGGAAGCCCTGATGTTCTGGCATCTTACATGGTATAAAGGCAAGTAATAGCTGTTAAATACCACATCTCCTCTTCTAAAATCCATGTACTGACCTACTCCCTCACTCTAATCACTCCTTTCATTTTTTTCATTTAACCTTAGACTGGTGGGTCTTGTACTGTTCAAAGGTTTTGAGAACTAGGGAGAAGGAACATTTTCTTTAATCTCTTTTGATTTATGTTGTTTACAGCTAGGCACAGGACAAAACACCACTTCCCCCAGAGAATCTCAGCATTCCATTTTCCACAGTTTATTCCCCATTTCCTTCAGGATCTGACTTTTAGCCATAACCATCTGTCTTGTTCATCGTGAAATTTTGTGTAAGTGGTGTGGCACAAGCCCTGAGTATGTCCTACTCTGCAGAGTCTCATCAGAGCCAAGGAGAAGAGTCATGAACTCTTGTCTTGGCCCTGATACCTGTTCACTCTAACATGTGTCAGCTCCAATTAGAGTCCCCCACACATTCAGCCCACTGCCATGTCCAGGTTACCAGCTTTGAAGGAGCAGCAGCCTGCCCCTTTACCAACTAAACTCAGCCTAGGTGAAGGTCAGATCTGTCATGCTGAGCTCTTTATAAGTTGAGAGACACTGCAAATAACTTGGTGGGAAGAACACTGGTGGGGAAGATGGAGTTGACAGAACCGAGCCATCTTTTGTAGCACTTCAACTTTCTTGTAAGGGAATTTTGTTTTGTGTTTGAATTCAGGGCAGGTCCAAGTGGAGCTGTTACTCAATCCAGCAGAAACCATGTGGAAGAGTGGATCCCTTTACCCTAAAACACTGTGCAACTCTGACTACACTTCTTCATGCCGTGGACTCACCTCTGTGATCCTCTCCCTTTTCATCCTTCTTTGCCCAGTTTCAGGTCTGGAACAATTCCCGTTGGCAGCCTCCTGTAGCACTGGAATGCTGAATGTTTCAGGCTGGCTGGTAAATCTTCACTTTTTGGATAAGAAAACTTGTATATAGAAAAATGAGATTTCGTGGTACTGCTCCACGTGCTTTTCAGAACTGCTGTTTACTGTTGCCTGAGTCCCTGTTAGTTGAAAAGCTTAGGAGGGGTTCAGGAACTTCACACACTCAGGGTGCCTCTGCACTTTGTTCTCTCTGATGGTATTCAATTAATTTGTTTTCTCTGAAGAATTGGACAGGCTTTCTCCAGATTTGGTGCTGCACATGAATGCTTATGCATAATGTGGCTTAAAGAAAAGATGAATTGGTGAGCAGTCTGGAAACCTGAGGCACATTGCCCTTTTGAGTAATGATTCTGCATATGGAAGGGGGAGGAAAACATTGCCATAGGGCCTCTATGACCTGTTCATGGGTAAATAATTATTTAGAAAACATTGATTTGGAATGAAAAGTCAGCTCAAAGGCCTGATGGTTATACAGCAGTTCACAGGGTTAAACTGGGAAGGTTGTGAAATCAGTCAAAAATAAAATTAATCCCTGAACAAAACTGGCCTGGTGAAGTTTTTATTTTGAGAAATAAAGAGAAAAACATAGCATTGTTGATTACTGAGGGTGGAGAAAAGCATCCTCTAGGCTTTTGACATTTTTAAGACGCAATGTTGTACATCAAATTAATTAAGCCAAATGCTGTGTATATGCACAGGAACAACATTCCTATGAATGGTGAGTGAGTAAGTTCTCTGAGCATTTCCAGGACATGGAAGACTTTAAAATAGACCCATCTAAATTTTTATGGCATGACATATAAGCCAGCCAGGTTGGAGAACTGGGCAAGGCACCTAGGAAGTCAGAAGCCTCACACTAATCTTTATTATCTAAGATGTTTCCTTTTCCTGGCTCCTGTTCCCCAGCTGAAGAATTAGTATAATGCCAAGGTTCAACTGACTGTTTTATTTACTCAGTTTAGAGTTTAGATTTCTTTGTGATAGATGTAGTTGACTCAGCTGCAGCCCTTGTAAGAGGAAGATGGTTCCTTCTACCTTTTTACCCATGAAGTGTCAAGGAGGAGATGAATTCATAGAAGAGGTAGGGTATGGCAGACAGGAATGAGCAACTGCTTAGTAAAAAAGTCTTCCAGTGAGCAGTCTGGAATATAATGAATAAAAGCAAGAAGTAGATTCATAATTAAGTGTCTTTAGGATGGGAACAAGCAGTTTCATGAGGAGCAGGATTGGTTATGCATGGTCTGGTCTGGTCCAAAGATTGACTGAGTTGAATTAAACCAGAATGAAAGGTATCCCTGCAAGAGTGCAGTGGGCAGGGGGAAATGGATTTTTGTTATCCTTTTTATGGTGATTATGTTTGACCTAGTCAGTCCAATTTGTGAAAAACTGGCTGGATGGCCTGGCCCAGAGAGTGGGCCAGGAATGGAACTAGATCCATTAGGCAGCAGGTTGCCAGTGGTGTTCCACAGGAGTCAGTGTTAGGGCTGGTCCTGTTTAACATCTTTATTGATGATTTGGACGAGGGGGTTGAGTGTATCCCTGGTTAGTTTGCAGACATCAAGTTAGGCAGGACTGAAGGTTTGCTGAAGGGTGGGAAGGCTGTACAGAGAGGCCTTGATGAACTGGATCTTGGGACTAGGGCCAGCTGTGAGACCTTCAATAAAGCAAAGTGCAGGGTCCTGCACCCGACTCTCAAGAACCCAAGTCAGCACTACAGGCTTTGGGCAGCGTGGCTTGAGAGCTGTCACTCTGCCCAAAGCAGAAAGGGACTTGGAGGTGCTGGTTGACAGCCACTAAACATGACCCAGTCTGTGCCCAGGTGGCCAAAAGGCCAGTGGCACCCTGGCCTGTATCAGGAGCAGTGTGGGCAGCAGGAGCAGGGCAGTGATTGTCCCCCTGTACTCAGCACTGGTGAGGCCATGTCTCAAAATCTGCGTTCAGTTCTGGGAACCTCACTTTGAAAAGGACATTGAGGGTCTGGAGCTTGTACAAAGCAGGGCAACAAAGCTGGTGAAGGGTCTAGAAAAATCTGTCTTTTGAGGACTGAGTGAGGCAGCCTGGAGAAAACAAGGCTCCGGTGGGACATCATTACTCTCTGCCTGAAAGGAGGGTGTAGTGAGGTGGGGATCATCTCTTCTGTCATGTATCAGGAGAAAGGACAAGAGGAGATGGCCTTAAATTGCACCAGGGGAGATCCCAACTAGGTATTAGAAACAATAAAAATAAAAAAAAAAATTATAAGAGTGGCTAAGCCCTGAATAAAGTTGCCCAGGGAAGTGGTGGTCACATCTCTGTAAGTGTAGGAGAGACTTGTGGCAGGTGGGGATAGGGTTTAGGGGTAACTGTGGCAGTGCTGGGTTCATGGTTGGACCAAATGATGTTGAAGGTCTCTTCTAGCCTTGATAATTCTGTGAGAAACTAAGAATTCTCATTTATTTTCTGGTAAAATCCAATTGCCTTTTTTTCAAAAGCCTTTCTTTGGAGGGGCTCTGAAGAAGGGAGGTTTACCTGCTGAATTGGGATCTCATAACACAAGAAAGCTCTTTCATTGCAAGGTAATTTGAGGTTGTTAGAATGAAAAGTACCACAGAAGTATGACATAGTAGTTACTGAACTGCTGAATACTCCCTCAGGTCCAGAAGCCCATTTCCTGTGCTCATAAGCTGCTCCTCCCAGCTGATGAGAGCCTTGCCAAATTCTGCAGAGATTGTAGGAAGTTAATACTTGAAGGTATCCTCTTCTCCTCTACTTATGCCAAATACAAGCAAAAGCAGCGAAAATTCTGCTTGTCTTGATCACAGTGGAAATATCTTCAGTCAATCAAACCATTAAAACTATCTCCTGTTCTTTGATTCCTATTTGTAGCCTCCTGTCCCTTTGTTATATCTTTTCTAGTGCTGAAGAGAAGCTTCATCTGCTGCTCCTGCATCTCTGGAGGTAGGCAGCTCACTGCATGCTGCTGCTATAGAATGCTTTCCATCAACTCCAGGTCCCAAGTGGGGCATATAATTCTTCATAAATGGAAAGGCAACTTTCCAGGCTTTGCCCCAAAGAAACACACAAAGGAAAATGTGCAATATATGGTTTTCTTTCTTTTGATCCCTTTTTCTTTAGATAATGCATGTCAAATTTAAGTCTAATAGTCCCAGTGAGATCAAGTTTATTAGCACTAATAATTTATATGTTTTACAGACATAAACTTCTCTTCCTGCTCATTTCTGAAGTCAGTACACGGAATTCCCAAAATATAGTCTGAGCTTACACAGACATCAAGATCATAGTAACTGGAACATATTGTTTAAGTCAGTGGAAATTCTGGAAGTCTTTTAACACCCAAAATCACTCATTGATCATAAGTAATAATATTCATTCTTATTAATTATTGCTATAGAATTATGTTGGACCCTTTCCATTTTTTAATGCTTTAGGCAATGCTCCATCACACTTTGACCAACATTTAGAAAAAAATGGCCCGTATGTCTTTTTCTCAAAGCAAATAAATTAATTTTTATGGAATGGTAAGTGGAGGGTAGAACTGAATAAGCT